AGTTAACTCATAAAATTGTTTTCCTCACCCCTTTATTGTTCTACAATGAGGGTCCAACAGAACCTGTGTTAATGATGTCACTTGTAACGTCGCATCCGTTCCAGCATCACCATGTACTAACACAGTTGTGCCTTAATAAGCAAAATAATAATTGGAATCAACTGCGCTGGTCAGTGACTGAAGTGTTAAGCTTCCAGACAGAACAAAATTTGGACTTGAAAATAATCATTCAGCTGTTGCCATAAAATATGTTTGTATTATCAGCTGAGCTGATTAAATGTAAACTGTCCCCCATAAAGAGTTTCTAAATCAGACTTTTCGAGCAAAAGCCCTTCATTCTCTCTGAGGAAGGGCTGGTGCTCAAGGAGTCAGCTTTGGAAAGGCTGGATTTTGCATTAACCCTTTAACTCCCAGATCAAATTTATAATTCTCCTTACTATCAACCATACAATTCTTATAATGTTAGTTCAGAGAACTTAGTATTGGATCAATTAATTATCCTCAAATTGATATTTTTCTTTATTCTCGACACTTATCTGGTCAATATTGTATTGATATTGTAAGGAGAATTCCTGTCTTGGTCACTCATGGGAGTTAAAGGGCTAAATTGGATTTTAACCATTATTGCATGGTTAATAGCAATGTACTGTGCCAATTTTATTACAAAAATGAAAAGACAGAAACTGAACAAAACCTCTCTTATCAGTTTCAAATAAAAGTGTCACTGTTAACCTATGATTATTTGATGCCTTTGATTATGAAAGTGCTCTTTTGTAGATACACAGTTTACAAAAAAGAAATATCATTTTCTTCAATCTGCCATGTGGTTTTACACAATAGAGAAAGACTTTTTCCCTTCAGTTTCACACAAAACAGAGTCATGTTTAACCCTTTAACTCTCAGAAGTTATCAACATGAAACTTCTCCCAATAAAATCCTTACACTGTCCAGCAAACAGCTGATGAGAATATTCAAACTTATCAGGTAGAAGTTGTTGTTTTGATCTAACACCAAATTCTCATAACTAATTTACAAGGATATGTGTAGCAGCTGGAGAGGAGAATTACCAATCAGATCTTGGGAGTTCAAGGGTTTTAAATGTACCTTGTGTATCCAAGCATTGTGCTATGTAACAAGCTGTTGATAAAACACTTTGAACATAATCCAACCAGGAGCTTGCTTCAAGTTTTGACAGCCATGAGTTCATGCTGAGTTTTTGATCCAAACTGGCTGAAAACCCAAACAATTCCACTGTTGTTTAAACACAGTACTAAACTAAAACTTCTCAGTTTATAACTGAATGTTATTTCCCATAACATTGACATGAAATCATACCAGTTACTGAGGCTTTGAAATAATTAGCACACTAGTTGTTCATTTAGAGTGCTTTTCATTGATTTTCATCAAGAGCAGTATTTTTTTACATCTCTCAGTTAATATGAGCCCTAAGAATGGTCAATTTTGTAAACAATACTTCACTGTATGGCCTGCTAAATTCAAATTTTGTTTTTGAATTGAAATTTTCTCCTTCTATTTGAGCCCAGAGATTTAATAAATAGGCTTCCCATCCACTATTTTTCTTGCATCACTTATATTAAATTAATCTGCTTGGTAAAGACTTATTGAAATCATGACTTCTATCAGTAGTGGCAAAGTATGTCATTGAATTATTGCATGCAGACATACAGTTGTCCACAATATTGAGCATTACCTAACTTTCCAACTACAGACAGTGTCAACTGTCAAACTGCAGTAAGGCTTGTTTGGGCATTCCCAAAATCAAAAATGTTTATCCCATGTGCCAAAGACGTAATGTTTAGAAGAATCTGAAAGGTAAGTATTTATTTTTGAGGAAATATTTGGACTGTATTATTCAGGCTGAGCCATTTAGCCAAAAGATTTCCATACACATCAATTTGTTCTTGTCAGATTCTTCTACACCATTTGTCTTCAGAACATGGAATGAACATTTTTGCTTTTTATTATAATTGTGAATGTACATACCTTCAGCAAGTTTTGCAATACTATCAATGAGCGCTGGGTATCTCTCAATGCCTTGATTAACTCTCTTCCACTGCGGGTAATGTGACTCTGGCTCCACTCCTCCTCCTGCAAAAATAAACAAACAACCCATCACCAAAAAGTTTACACAGACAAAAATCATCTACTGCATTTTGCAGATCATTCAGCAAAATGCTTCGTCAGATATTGGAAGATTTTAAAATAGCTGTTGGTAGAGATTCTTGCGCACTCTGTGATCAAGATCCATTGTCAATTTAACAAATCTACCACAATTTTCCAATGTCTACAACGTTACTAATCATAGAAATGACATCAACAAGTTCATAATTACAGTGAAGCCACGAGGCACACCCAAGTGTGTTTGTTTCACTGCAAACAAGGTACAGCCAAGTAGTTTCACCGCAAAAAATTTTGAGCATTGTCGACATTATGTCTGAGACATTGGAAAATTGAGATTGATTTGATACATCAGTTGGTGAAGTAAAGTGATAGAACAAATTATAAGCTACCTGACTACTTGGTAGTCATGTGACCAGAAGGTTAAATAAATTCAAGAGAAATGACTTGGGAGTAAATAACATCTCATTCAGTAGTATTAAGGAAACCAAAATAAGCTCTGATGGACCACTTGGCTCCAAGTACAGACTTTACCTTTAACCCTCTAACTCCCAAGATCTGTTTGTTAATTCTCCCCTCTATCTGCTTCACATTTCCTTTTAACTTAGTTACGAGAATTTGGTCTTAGATCAAGACAACTACTTCTACTTGATAAGTTTGAGTATTCTCATTACCTGTTTGTAGGATAATGTATGGATATTATAGGGAGAACTTACATGTTTATCGCTTCTGGGAGTTAAAGAGTTCATTTTTAAGAGTATTTAATATATAATATTCCATTACCTTTGCTTCTGCTGTTCATGGCAGCAGTGGAGGATCTTGTGTCAATAATAACTCCTTTAGTTTCACCACCTAAAGTAGCATTGACCAATCTCTCATCTTCACGACTTCTCTTGCTTCCTATCGCAGTTAATGGCTGACCACATCTTAAAAGAACAACCTGTGTATCATGCAATGATATTTGCTTGAGGTTTTGTTTTGAAAGAGAAGCTGTTCTGTAAACAACAGAATGTTCATTAAGTTACAATTTAACATCAGCCCTAAAACAAAAATTAAGTAAGATCCTAGAGCAGAGACAGCTGTAAGAAAAATTGTTGTACTGAAATGAGTTTAATACTGTCCTCATTCACAGTAAAATAAAGTGCATGCATTCATACTTCAACACAGAGTAAACTAATTCAAAGTCACTGATTAATTCATACATAGATGTAAGGGAGGTGTGCGGCAGATACTGACATGTATGTTAAGCGCGACAAACAAAACCAAATTCAAAGCAAGCATGTACCTAAATTGTCAGAGTCTATGAAACAAACTATGAGTACCACAAGGCAGTGCTAAATCAGGCTCCCCACTGTAGTGATGAAATGTATATTCTCACCCCATTTCGTTTGTGATAGTAGCTAAGAACAGGAAATCTTCCAGACTGTCTAAACTGAGCAGATGCCTTCAGAGTATCATCTGACATCTTTGCAGGTACTACAACACTAGCTGGATAGCTTGGGCATACCTGAAAAAAAAGTGTTTACAAAGGCTTTAAGATGGTCTCCAAGCAAGTTTCCAATTTAACTTATTTCCCTTTTCTCTTCCTTTGAAAATATCTTTATTTTTTTAAATACATTTTACACAGGGCTTTTTCATATCTAGTTTAAAGAAGACATAAAATATGGTAGAGAATTTATTAAACAATCCTCTTCTGCTGAGGTGCCTTCTTTTGTTGTTATATATCTGCAATTTATAACTTACAAAGGACTTACCTCATAATTACTGTTCACATGACTGATTCTCCAGCCCTGTGTCAATGCAGAGAGTTTTGAGAATTCCATTTCTGTACTAAATAAATCCCAACCATCTTCATCAATGGCTCTTAGGTGTCGGTAGAAAAAAGGATATCTCAGATTTGTATTTTCTGGGGAATGAAC